CGAGGGGGGGGGAAGACTGCGCTAGTGTGTCTGCTTCAGTCCTTTCATTTCGGCATTTTCTGTTTGTCCAGGGGGAGAGAGAGAGAGGGAGAGATAGAAACCTTCAGCAAATTAATCGGGCACATGAGCAATTTAAAGGACAAAGGCTGGGCTCCTTTGTGAGGCCTTAATGAATGCACGCCACAATTTTTTTCCCTCTATTTCTTTTTCTTTTTTCCTTTTTTGGCCTGCAGAAGCCGAACCGACGCTTGACGCTCTAAATCTTGTTTTCTTTCATTCAAGGAATGACAGCTGGGATTCGGTCGAAATTCGGCAGCCATTGTTCAGGAAGGGAGATTAATGCTATGTGACTAATCGTGCAGGGCTTCCCAGAATGCATAACTCGCTCATCTTGCCTGGGCCAACCCCCCCTCACCCCACCCCCTTTCCCCCCTTCTGGTGATTCTTTCTTTCTCCTGCTAAAAAGCCCCCTTGTATCCTCCTGATTTACATGGGGTGTACAGATGGCAGGGGAATCTAATTGGGTTGGGTGCCCCAAGGGAGCAGGTTGGCCCGGGAATTTGCCTTGTAGGGCCACCTGGGTGGAAAGGGAAGGAGACGTCTTCCACATTTGTGACCTTGATGAGTTTCACTTTGGGTTTCACCAAACCCACCCAGCCCTCCTTGGGCCATGTCTGGTTCTGTCTTTCCAAAGTTGCTGGTTGGCCATTGTCCCTGGGAAGGCTGAGACAGATCCTTCCACGGAACTCTTTTGCGGGTAGCAGGAGTTGCTCTGAGAAGAGTCTAAAGCTCGCCCATTTGCGGTCGCCTTTATGGACCGTATTTTCTTAAAAGCAAGTTCAAGGTCTCCGAAATATCGGATGCAGGGATTCTTTTCAGTTCTGTTTGGCTGCCCCATTAGCCCGGTTCTGTCTCACACCAGCTTCAGCTAATCCGGGAAAGCCACCCCTAGCTTGGTCACATCCGGTCCCCGGCTTGGTCACCTCTCCCGGAGACCCTCGTTCGTAAGTCCCTCACGGGCTGTGACTTGGGAAGGTGATGCAGACTGAACGGGCTCAACGCTCGCAGACGGGAGGGTCCTCGGGCGTCATGGCTAGTGGCCCTTGCTGCCTACCCAGTGTTTCTAAGGCTGCTCTCTGGACGTTACTTCTCATGAACGTGGTGTCTGTAAGGAACTGGGCTGAGAGGTGACACACGGAAGTGTCGTAACTTCTTTAAAAGCTACCAGTCAACCCAAACGGGGCAGTGGAACATGGTCTGCTAGCTTTGAAAGAGCCCTTTCAAAGACTTGAAACATCATCCTTCACAGGAGGGGCAGGGTCTGCTCTCGATCATCCCAAAGTGCAAGACGTGTTGTAATGGGCTCAAGCGACAAGAAGACAGATTTCAGCCGAACATCAGGGGAAAACTTCTCAACTGTTAGAGCAGTATGATGATGGAACCCATGACCTCAGCAGAAGGTGGTGAGCGCTCCAGCGCTGGAGGCCTTCAAGAGAAAATGGGACCGCCGTCCGTCCGATCTGCTTGGATTGGGATCCCTGCCTTGAGCAGAGGGTTGGACTGGATGGCCTTCGAGACCCCCTCCGACTCCAGGATTTGAGGGTTATTTGGGAAACCTCTTTCCAACTTCAAGCAAGGCTTATAAAAACAAGCTGTCCTCTCATTCACCTGTGGCGAGTTGGAATCCCGCGCAGGGGATTCACCAAGAAGACGTTACCGAGACTTTTGCTTGCTGTTGGCTCCTAGGGTCTAAGATATTTATCCTTCATGGCCTAAAAAAAAGAGAGAGACAGTTTTCATGACGATGGGCGCTGTGTTGTCCTTGCCAACATCCTTGAGAGGGCCTGGACTTGAGGATCCACCGGATCCCTTCCTGCTCTAAGATGGCATGCTCAGAAGACTCAGCCTTCAAAAGCCAGACAGCAAGAGCCGTGTATTTCATGTTTCATAGAATACAAATAAAATGAGCACTTGGGCTAGGAGTGGGCCAGGGTGGGTCTGTGCCCGTCGCCAGTGCGGTTTTGCGCTTGTGGATGCTAACCACAGCTTTACAAACTTCCGGCCCCTCTCCTGAGCGCCGAATGCTTTTTCCCAGAGCAGATGAAAAGCTTTCGCTCACGGAGCATGTGGCCCTTGCCGTAATAGGTACCAATTAAAGCTTAGCAGGGGAGGGTTTTGGGACTGGCACCCCCCCAAGATGAAAAAAAGGGCGTCTGATGCGCTTGTTATAGTGTGGATGTGTGTGGGGGGGTGGCTTTCTCAGGACCACCCTTGCTTCCCTGCTTGGTTGGCAGCAGATTGGGGGGGTCCAGGGGGCTGGGTAAAAACCTCAAGGGGGTGGGAGTCTCTGCCTCTTCTCGCAGGATGGGTTGTGGCCTCATCCTGCCGCCGGGCGTGTTTGGCCTTCCAGCAAAGTACCCCTTCCTCTTCGGTGGCCGAGGGAGCCTGTCACCTTTCCTTTGCCAGAAAGAGGGCAGGCGGGCAAAAGTCTCTTCCCCCCCCTCCTTCCCTTCTGAGTGTTCGCCTTTTAAGTCCGCCCGGACATCCGATGCTGTCCGGAGGGGATCTCTTGCCGTTAAAATGGCGCTCTTGATTTCTGCTCCTCACTAATGAGATTCAGAGGCCGTCCGGTCCAAGAGAGCGCCTTGCATCCTTAATGCCCGATTCATCCTTCTTGCTGGGCAAAGAGTCTCCAGGAAGGGAGAACAGCAGCAAAGGACTCTGTTGAAAGCGTCTCCTGCGTGGGGGGAACGGAGAAGCCCACAGGCGCTGGGTTCCTGGGGTTTGGATTGTTGTTTGTTTATTTCCCAAGCTTTCTCGCCGGACTAGGCGCTATTCAGCTCCCGGGGCCTATTGTTAATTCCCCGGAAGTCCTTCTGCTTAATTTTTCCCCCTTCTGTTTTAACCTGCGGTTATTTCCGTGAAATAATAACAAGGGGATGGGAAGAGAACCAGGGCTCCCTGGGACAGGAAAAGGGTGCGGTGTTGAAAACGGCCTCGGGAAGTCCGTAAGGAGCGAGAACGGTTCGGCCGGCATCTCACCAGGTCTGTGGATGCTTCTTCTGGGCTGCCTTGATTGTGGAAGAAGTCATTTGAGGACCGGAGCAGGACTCTTCCGCAGATGAAATCCATAAAGAGATGAGCCCTCCAAAACCACTTCTGGACATTGCGAATTTTGCAGGTGGCCTGCCTAAGACGCGCCACTTAAAACTCGGCTTGCTTGTGTGTT